AGGGGGCGCTCAGCACAGCTTGGAGCCAGGTCAGCTCAGGAGCAGCTGCACACAGAGCCCAGGGCTGCTCTCCTGCTGTCTGCCCTGCCTCTGTGCCCACAGTGTGACAGCATCTCTCCTGAGTTCATGACCTGCACTCCTCTGTGATGTCTCCAGTCCTCTGCTGGGATTTTAAGAATGAACAGAGTATCACTGTGGAAGCAAAAATGGCTCTGCAGTGTTGACCAGTATTTGATCCTGAAGAAGTTCAGGGACCCTGGTGACCCCATGAGACTCAGGACAAAGATCCCAGGATTCACAGAGTCGGAATTTGTTCTGTGAACAAGAGGGAAACCGCCTGGCACAGTTACTCATGCCTGTAATCCTAGAGACTTGGGAGGAGGAGAGAAAAATGATTTTGAAGACCTCATCTCAATCAATAAGCTGAATGTGGCAGCTGTTTCCTGTGATTCCAGCTACACAGGAGGCAAGTGTGAAATCACTGTCTGGAACCTGCCCCAGGCAAAAACACAGCACAGTACCAGAAAATAAATAACATCCGAAAAGCTGCAGGAAGGGCTTAAATGCATGTGTGTTCCTAAAATAGTAGCCCTGAGTTCAAAACAGTACTGAGAGAGAGAGACAGAGACAGACAGAGAAAGACAGAAGACAGACAAAGAGAGAGCACACAGCCCATTGACCCATGACTCTTAACAGGCCTCAAATCCTGCCCTCCTCCCTCCACCTGTAGCACTGCTCAGGGGTTCAGAACTGACCTAACAGAATTGCTCCATTCATTCACTTTCTGACTCAGTGATTCTTTGTATCACAGCCTCCTTTTCTCTATGTCCAACCACCAAATGTACTTGGGGACCCAAGTCATAAAACACAGGGGTTGGCCATACCCCTGGAGCTCAGCCCACGGCACCCTGGGAAACGCTGGTGGACTCCTCAGTGTCCCCTGACCAGAGCCTTTTGCTATCCTCCATGGAGATGTGGAAGTGGACACGAGGAGTCTGGGTTGGACTGGACAGACAACAGGCCATGTGCATGTAGACTGACCTTGCTGGGCCCCGTCTGTCCTGGGGTTTCCTCCATCACGATGGCCCTGGAGTCCTGTGGATGTCCCGTCTGGGATGGAGGCCGGGTCCCTGTGGCTCTGTCATGAGCACTGTCACTGTGCACGCACATCGTGGGCAGGAGGGGCTGGGCCAGGTGATCTCACAGCAATCTGACTGAGCTCCCTGCATCCCGGACGCCCCCACCTGCTCAAACAGGTCCTTGTTTATTTTCCATTACATCCTGATCAGAGAAGAGCAAGCTTCACTTCCTGAACAAGAACGTGTGTGTGAACTCTACAGGCTTTAGGAAGAAGACTTCTGAGTTCTGAGGTTCTCCCCTGGACAGTTTTTGTGGATGATGAGACAAATCATTCGTCTCAGCAGGAGACATCCATTACTCTGTCCATGTGGAGACACCTCCAGAAAGCAAGATCATCTCTCATTACAAGGCCATTACGGACACTCCTGCCCTGCAGAATGCCATGTGTCTCCACACAGTGGGAACTGGGCATCTGCTCCCTAATATCACGTATACACAGGTTTGCTATAATGAGTAAATAAAGGATTAATAAATTCTCAATATCTGTGGGAAAACTACCTGTTTTTCTCTCTCTACCATTACACTCTGTGGTGTTTAAGAAGAACTGATTCTTGGGGATCAATGGTGTCCCTATTTCTTTACTGTTTTAAAGTGATACTGCACAGCTGTTCATGAATTTCAACACCAAACCAGTGTCAGAGTGAAATAGGTCAGGAAATACACGGTTCAAAATAAAGAACTGGAGCCAGTCACCAGTGGTTTCTCCTTGTAATCCTGGCAATTCAGGAGGCTCAGATTAGAGCATCACAGCTTGAGAACAACCTCAGTTAACCACAGAAAAGTCAGAAGTAGATCTGTGGGTGAAATGGAAGAGTGCCAGCCTTGAGCAGAAAAGCTCAAGGACAGCACCCAGGTCTTGAGTTCAACCCCAGGCAGGCATTTAGTGAAAGACCCCTGACTCCTGGGATACTTTCGTCAATGGGAAGGCGCCCCAGAAAACTCAGACTCCAGGCCGGGAGATGCAATAAACAAGAGGAGTTTATTTGACGTTTGCGCAAACGGACTCTCTGCCCCGGTCAGTCAGAGAGCCGCGAGCAGCGGTTACAGGCATTTTTAAAGGCAGAAACCCTAAGATTGACACATAACACAAGGCGTCTGGGGATTGGCCCGATTAGAGGTCACTATATACTCCAGCAATCATTTTTTACTACATGGGGAAGTTTATAACACTCTTTGTAATAAAGCAATTGGCGCAGGTGATCAAAAGGAGGTAGTCACTCTGGGAGATAAGGGTCAGGGAGTTTACAGAGTTACAGGCTTGTGATTAACATTTGGCCTAGTTTGCTGAACTTGCCAGGTGGTCCTTATCTTGGGTCCCTATCTTGGGTCCCTATCTTGGGTCCCATTTAGCTACTTGGGGAATTTTCAAACAGGAACTGGAAAAACATACCTGTTAGTTCTTTATCTATGACCACAAACCTTGTCCCAGGGGCCGGCATCTGGGCTCCGAGAGACTTTTTACTCAATTCCTTATTTCCAGAAGGGAGGGGGGTTAGTGCTAGCGCGAGCAAGTTTACAAAAGCAAAATCAGCAGTTAGCAATTGTAAAATGTAATTCTAATTTTTAATCTTTCATTAGAAATGCAAATGAGTTTAGAGGGCTAAAGTCCTACAAATGTGTCGTGAGAAATTCTCTGAGCTTGTGGGTTTGCACATCCGCCACCATCCCTCCACATTCCTAGGTAGATGGTGGAATGACACAAAATGCTCTGCTCTCCCTAGAACATGGGGCACCACAGGACTCAGTGGGCCTGCCCAGCTCTGTCTCTGCGCTAACTGGGAAGCAACGGGCCTGGTGGTGAGAGGCGTCAGCCTTTACCCGTGGGTAAATTGTACCAGGAGTCACTTGTTGAGCACGTTGCACAGCAGGGTCTCTGCCTCTGGTTTAAGGATGCAACTCTAAAGTGCCATCTTCCCACTAATCACCTCAGCACAGCTTCCTCTACTTTAGTTGCCTCCTCTGGGACCTCTGTCCCAGAACTTGCTATATAGCATGCAGGCATGCAAATAGGGCCTCTCTGGACTGATGAAAACCAGCCACTCCAAGCTGAGCGAGGAGTCCCAGGCCTGCGTTCCCCAGTTGCCCCATCCAGGACGGAACACAAACCATTCACCATGGAGCTGGAGCTCAGCTGGGTCTTCCTTATTGCTATTTTAAAAGGTAATTCATGAGCAGCAAGCGATGCTGAGTGAGACTGGACATGGGTGAGAGGAATGGTGGTTATATGTGTCCATTCCTGACTGGGATTCTCTGTGTTTGCAGGTGTGCAGTGTGAGGTGCGGCTGGTAGAGTCTGGGAGAGGCTTGGTGCAGCCTGGGGGGTCCCTGAGACTCTCCTGTGCAGCCTCCGGATTCACCTTCAGTGATTACTACATGGACTGGATCCGCCAGGCTCCAGGGAAGGGGCTGGAGTGGGTTGCACGAATTGATCCAGGTGGTGGTAGCACACGGTACGCAGACTCTGTGAAGGGCCGGTTCACCCTCTGCAGAGACAACAGTCAAAGCACGCTGTACCTGCAAATGAGCAGCCTGAGAACCGAGGACACGGCCCTGTATCACTGTGCAAGGCACAGTGAGAAGAGCCAGTGGGGCCCAGACACACAGGTGCAGCAGCCTAGGCCAGCAGGCGCACCAGGACACACTGTGCCCAGGCCCGGGAGTAGAGGTCAGCCGCCTGCTTCTCCCAGTCAGGGTCTGGACTTCCTCTTAGCCTCTCCCATAGGAGATTCTGGTCCCCGATTCTGTGGGCACCGCTGATGTCTCTGAGTTTGAAAAGTTTTCTTTGAACATGAAGATTCCCAGATCCTCATGTGAATGGACACAAACCAGACTCACACAGAATGCATATCTACTCTCATAAGTGGAATCTAAGGGCAAAATTGATGACATGGAAATGGTAGAATAGCAGAAAAGAGGAAGGAGACCAAGGAGAAGAAATGGGGGAAATGTACTGGATAATGGAAGGGGAGGATGCAATATGATCAAAGTGCATTATATGCACATAAGAAAATGCCATTGGGGCTGGGAAGGTGGCTCAGTGGTAGAGCGCTTGCCTTGCATGCCTGAGGCCCTGGGTTCGATTCCTCAGCACCACATAAGCAAAAAGAAAAAAGCCAGAAGTGGTGCTGTGGCTCAAGTGGTAGAGCGCTAGCCTTGAGCTGAAGAGCTGAGGGACAGCGCCCAGACCCAGAGTTCAGGCCCCACGACCAGACCAAAAAAAATAAAAAAATAAATAAATAAAAGAAAATAAAAAAGAAAATGCCATCCTGAATTCTGTTATTTGATATAACACCTACACCAGGGTCCCCGGACTGGATCTGAGGATACTCAGGGGACTGCTAGCGAATGTATCCTGTGGAGAAAGAGACCTCAGTGGAATTCTGTGACTTGTACAGTCTTTGGATTCACACTGGAGCAAAGCGAGAGGCCCAGTGAACCATAAACACAAGTCTTACCCTCTACCCGTGAGTACTTACACACATCAAATTGAGAATTCATTCATTTCTCTTTTTTAGCAAACCCATTTTCCCACTTTTCTTCATCTTTTCCCTCCGATTGGAGGATGCAGTATCCATTCATAATACTAGGGCGATAAGCCTTCACCAGGAGCTCGGGTGTGGTTCCTGGACGCTATCGGCAACCTGAAGGAACGGCGGTTACCGTGGCACTGGGAGCTCCCACGGTCCTCTACTCCCACGTATTTGTCATGTGGACACAGCTGAGAAGTGGGACATGGAGAAGATAGAGGTGGCGTGTTGTTATTATTACAGCAGCAGCACTCATTGCTCTCCTCGTGTGACTGTATCACCTGCCACACGTGAGCTCAGCTGCTGGACTCTCAGGTCTCCTGTGGGATCTCGGTGGAGGCGGAGGGCTGGCAGACACTCAGTACAGCCAAGGCGCATGTGCCGGTGCGTCACACGAGGAGGCTGGAGGTTCTGTGCAGTGGCTCTCCTTTTCTCTCCTCATGTTTTCTCTGACTAAGTTAGACACAATCAGGGCATCTAGGGCAACTTGCTAACTTGAAGTGATCATGTGCGCACAGGACCTAATACCATGTGCTAGATACCTGCATGGCAATACTGTGGGTAATAGGGCTGTGGGTAGCAGTACTGTGGTGGGTAGAACTGGGTTGAATGATTACTGCCTGTTGCCTGACATGGTTACATGTACAACACAATTACATTGTCAGTAAACCTGGGTTTGTGTCATCAATACCCTTCTTAGGATATTTCTCCTCAGTGCCAAGTGAGGTCAAGACAGCCAGGGTGGAATATGATCTCACAATGTGTGTGCTTTTCTTTTTTGTGGTACTGGGATTTGGGACGCAGGCCCTCGTGTTTGGTAAGCAGGCACTCATACCACTGAGCCATGCCTTCAAGTCTTGGATTGTGTGCATGCACCTCCAACACCAGCACATTGGCACAATGTGTCTTCTTAAGGAAACTCCCTTGTGAGGAGAGCTTCTTCCTCCCCTGATTCCCACCGCAGGCCCAAGAGAGGAACAGATACCCACCCAGGGAGCATTCAAAATCAATTCATATGTTAATGTGCCTCATTAACACAATTGTTCTCAGTAATCCATGCTTGTGATTCCATTTTAAATTCTTTGTTGTTGGCAAAAGTTTTGTGTTTTGTGCTGTGTTCTGTTTGGTGCCGTCTCTTTCTCTAGCACTGACCATGTGGCTCTACCATGCAGTGGGCAAGAATGTCATCTACCACTGGAATTCTCGAGAACTTATGGCCAATTTTCTTTCTTTTTTAAAATTATAAGTGCATCTTTAAACTTTTGTGCATAAGTATGTGTGTGTGTGAGAACATGTTCAAAATAATCTTTTAATGCATAAGAACTGTCATCATTGTATGAGAAAAAGTAATCTTTTCTATCAAACTAGAGTCCTTCTCTCTTGTATATTGATTTTGTGGTATTGACATTTCCTGAAATTATTTGCTTTTTTATTATTATCTATACTATTTGTGACCAGCAGGCATCTAAGGAATGTAAATCTTAGGTCAAAGGGGTTAAGAGAATAAGTTGTAATTGCCAGGTACACAACTTGATCAGCTAGCCAAGATAGGGAGATATGTTTTTATCAAAGGAGTAGCAACTGCCAAGTGTGCTGCTTGTCAGGAGAAAACTTTATCAGTGGAGTCAAAATGAGTGAGGCCTCCTTTTTGGAGGGAGCTTCCCACTGACCCCATCGACCTTAAAACAAAGTGTGTGGTGGGCATAGCCACCTTTCTAACGTGGGTAATCAATTATACTTAGAATGTGAGCCTGACCCTGTGACAAGGAGGAGGCAGCGTGGATTGGGATAAAAACCTAGCAAACTGCTCTGCTGGGTGTGCCTGTCTAGCTCTGGGCAGAGTAACATTATTGCACCCTTTTGTGCAAGATTGCCTTGAGGACATGTCTATTCATTTCTGACACCAGAGAGTTGTTGTGCATTTCTAACAATAGTAACCAAGAGTTAACTGGCTCTGCAGGCCAACTGGAAAAATGGGCAGTTTTAAACTCAAACCACAAAGAAAGTCACTAGATTTGGGTTTTAACAAATGTAGCTAAGAGTTATTACATTACATTAAGAAAAACTATGTCATTTGAAGTTTGAAAAGGTAATTGCTTGTGTACTATTAATCTTGTGAGGTTTTTAACAAAGTTTATTTAAATGTTCATGTAAAACTAGATTATTTAATCTGTTGCTGTTTCGAAACTCCCATCATGACTACTCATAAGTTTTGCCTTTACAGATCTGATCTTCTGTGGCAATTACAAGCAGACCCACAGCAGGACAGATGACTCTTACAAGTCTGTCAAACTTAACTTTGGTTGTAAGTTCCAGGTAAGCCCTGCTTAAAGGCTATTTCTATTGATCTCCTTGTTGCTTAAATTCAAAATAAAAGGGTTTATTGGCTGGTATTCTCCCCTGACCGCTCAGTCTCAACCTCCCCCCCACCATGAATGTGGGAGTCAGCCAACTGGGACACCTCATCCCAGCAATGAGCAGTAACACCAACTGGAACATTATCCCAGTAAGGAGAAGAGAAGCACCAGGACAGAGCCGGTCCTGCCAACGAGGGGCCCCCAGGGGTAGGCGGAGGAACTGCTCAGAGAAGAGGGGTTGGTGGCCAATCCTAAATGGAGTCTCTGTGCTTGACCTTTCAGAAGTTACTGAAGCCGGTGGTCATCGGCATGCCTGTCTAATGCCATGACTTCTCCCCCTTCTCATTTAGAGTGGAAATGATAGGGCTGTGTAGTGGAGGATAGTTTAAAGCAACAGAGCTCTCAGACCCAGTATCTCCTCAAGGCTCTAATTGGCTGTAAATCAAGGTGCTCTCCTAGGGCCTCGAGATAAGGACACGTGGCCATTTGGACCTAAGAGACCTATTATAAAAGCTAAACATTTCTATATATTACAGAAACTCAGATAATGTTGCTTCAATCCTTCAGAATCTGCACACCTAGATTGGTGCTACTTTACCTGCTGGCCACAAACCATCAGTGTGCTCTAAAAAACTGAAAAGGTGCAGCAAAAAAAGGGGACAGCCCTGTATCCTAGAAATGCAAAAACTTAGAAAAAATGACTTTTCCTGGCACAAAGTGCTTAAAGGACAGCCATCTGTGGCAGGATGCATTCTTCTCCAGTAACCCTGCCACTCTGCATTCTTCTCCAGTGACCCCGCCGCTCTGCATTCTTCTCCAGTGACCCCGCAGCTCTGCGTTCTTCTCCAGTGACCCCGTCGCTCTGTGTTCTCCAGTGACCCTGCCGCTCTGCATTCTCCAGTGACCCTGCCGCTCTGCGTTCTTCTCCAGTGACCCTGCTGCTCTGCGTTCTCCAGTGACCCTGCCGCTCTGCGTTCTTCTCCAGTGACCCTGCCGCTCTGCGTTCGTCTCTGCTTGCCTGCTGGCCACTCGCTCAAGCTCTGGCACATATTCTTATTGAAGTCAGGAACCTTAAGCGGAGCGTCCCTACTTTTACAGGGAAGCTGCACAGACTCCCGCTGTGACTGACTGTAACTCACTCATCACTCATCAGTCTCCTTGTGCTCCTCACATCTGGAGTCGGACCGCCAGGCTTCTACCATTGACAACTCCATCTCCAGAGACCATTCTTATCCTAACCTTTGTACCCTATTCTTTATTTTAAAAACATCTTTTTCAGAAGTTCTTCATTAATTACATAACAGCAGTCACACAGGCCAGGAGCAGGTCAAAGCCATCCTGCTACTGAAGGCACCCGAAGGCCTTCCCAGCACAGACCCCGGCCCTGGTAACCCCTTGACACCCCTATGTCAGCAGGAAGCAGCCAGAAAAGACCACGACGCTCCTCAACTTTTATAGCCCCCTCGGGGTCTCAAGTGATGGGAATCGCTTTGTCCTCATAACCCCATGCTGTTCCCATGGCCACAGACCACCTCCCTGGGAACCCCGCTGAAAATCGTCTCCATGGAATGCTAGCTCTGTCCTTGAGTTGTTCTCAACAAAACTTCACTGATGGCCTTATCTGAAAGTGACCGTCTGCCACAGCTGCACAGACATTATACAGTCAGAAAGACAATCCCACCC